CTATCTATCTATCTATCTATCTATCTATCTATCTATCTATCTATCTATCTATCTACTATCTATCTATCTATCTATCTATCTATCTATCTATCTATCTATCTATCTATCTATCTATCTATCTATCTATCTATCTATCTATCTATCTATCTATCTATCTATCTATCTATCTATCTATCTATCTATCTATCTATCTATCTATCTATCTATCTATCTATCTATCTATCTATCTATCTATCTATCTATCTATCTATCTATCTATCTATCTATCTATCTATCTATCTATATCTATCTATCTATCTATCTATCTATCTATCTATCTATCTATCTATCTATCTATCTATCTATCTATCTATCTATCTATCTATCTATCTATCTATCTATCTCTGTATCTATCTGTCTATCTATCTATCTATCTATCTATCTATCTATCTGTCTGTCTATCTAACTATCCATCTGTCTGTCTGTCTGTCTGTCTGTCTGTCTGTCTGTCTGGTCAGTCTGGTCTGTCTGTCTGTATGTCTCTCTGTCTGGTCTTTCTGGTCTGTCTGTCTGCCTTTCGGTCGGTCTGTCTATCTGTTTGTCTGTCTGTCTGTCTGTCCCTTTTTCTCTTTATTTTTGAACGAGTTACACACATTTACAGAGAGAGAGAGAGAGAGAGAGAGAGAGAGAGAGAGAGAGAGAGAGAGAGAGAGAGAAAGAAAGAAAGAAGGAACAAACTAAACTATTTTTCAAGGTTCACATGTTGGGTACGCAGGTCCGTCTTACATTCAGCCCTTCCAGACATTCATCTTTCACATATCAGTTATAATTGTTAACTGGTGGCCAGTCTGAGGAGAGATAAGACGTAAAAAAAATCTTATCCGACAAGGTAGGCGCAAGAAGGTTAATTTTTACCTCAACATACAATGTACTTAAGCACCTGGGCTTGCCAAACAAAGAGCGTAAAAGGGCACTGAAACAATTGGGTGAAGCGGCTGAAAGCGCTTCAAGCTGGCTGTGGACACAACGTATCGTCGTGGGGAATGGCCTCGGTAGACTGCTCCTGAGCTGAAAATGAACTTCACATCCCTAAAGCCAACGTGTCACATTTTCGTCTGTCAGTATCTCTCTGTTGGTTGCCAAAGTCTAACGTCTGTCCGATGAACAAACTGTTCATTCGTTACTAAGGTCGTGAAAGTGGGCGGATAATTTGCTACTGCGGCGACAATAAATAACCACAAACCCCACAATACCTGTTGCAAAGCCACCATTTCGTCTTGTCCGAACGTCTGTAAGGGCGCAGCAGGAGACTTATGAGGCATGGGAGTCATGACCTAGGTCGGCCCAGCCTGTGAAATTGTCTAGGATAAAGGGCCGACACAATTTGACAAGGGACCCTTTTACTGGTGGCCGGTAAGCTCCTGCTGTGCATGCTCCCACTGTGGGGTTCTTCTTTTTATTATTGTATCTACAAAGCCCATTATGTTCACATAGCAAAATGCACAAAATGAGTGCATGGTAGAAAATTTTAAAGCGGATACATGCAGATGACACACACCCACCCACACATACACAGAGAGAGAGAGAGAGAGAGAGAGAGAGAGAGAGAGAGAGAGAGAGAGAGAGAGAGAGAGAGAGAAGAGAGTGTGAGAGTTTTAAGGGCACTTGTTATTTTTTTTTTAAAGCTTTACGTTTACATAATATTGATGCATGTTTTGTTTTTTAATGGCTTTCGGCGCGTTCTTAAACTATCAACTGTTCTATATATAAGACAGCAAACGTTTGTAAACTTTCATTGCGTACAGGTAGATTACTCGTTTGAAAGCCCAGGGTTTACAGTTTGTACTATTTATATTTTCTTTAGGCGTGTATTTTCTTCTCGCACCTTTGTTTGATCTACAGCTTCGTGAAACATCAAAACCAATAGGTTTATTATAAACCATTGTTTCAGCAATTCATCGTCGTCTAGGTTTAGCTGTTATAAACGCGGTGTCGTAATTAGGAAGCCAACTGCGATTGATAGTAGATAGCTTTGCATTTATTTTGACAAGTTTGTGAGCGTCGACAGCAATGACAAACCACTGAACGTGAAATTGTTTACGAAACCACATAATTAACATCAAGTAGCAGACTCCTACAGAACGTCGCCCTCTTCAGATCACGCATGAAAGTCTCTGTGTTTCTAGCCAGTTCTTGAGCACTATGTGTTTTAATATAATAGCCAATTCATCTTCAGTGTCTTGCTTCATACTTTGCAGAGGTCGGCATTAGTTCTGAGTCTTATTCCCGAAACTGTACCCTATATCATGGATTTTCCCCAGGCCTTCCGAACTTAATGCTGTTTAAGAGCCAGAGTTCTTCGATGTTCAGATCATGTAAGATATCGATGTGTTTTTTTTTTTTAAATACTCCATGGTATTCTAAGAAATTATTTTTAACATTTTCAATTCAGAAGCATCTAGTTTTGTCTTAGAAGACTATAGAAGACTCGTATCTGTAACTTGCTCAAACTTTAGCTGGAAAGATACATGAACTCGGGCTTTTAACTTGCAATATGTTCTTCGTGCTGTTGAAACCACATATATCAGTTGTTATTTGTAACATTATGTAAAGAACTCTTAAACAAATTACCAAACGACACAGTCGATGAAACTAACCCACATCCTTGAGACAGCGAAGCAATCGGCTTAACCAATTAGCCTCGGATACCTCTTCTTTCAACAACAACAACAAAAAAACAAAACAAAAATCGGCAGTTTTAGCTACTGACTCATCCAGTTAACGTCTGAGAAATCCGCACAATTCAAACAGCTGCTTTTTTAAAGGTAATGTTATACAGATACCCCCTTCAGAAGACACATTCCTACAACGGATGGTCGGTGGTGAAAAAAAAAGAAGAAGATGAGATTACATATATAGTTCCTTGTATACAGTTTACCGATTTGCCCTCATTAAGTACAGTCGTTCTAGAGAGATAATGTCCAGAGAGACCTACAATCACTTGGTGTTACCAATTGTAAAAAGAAGGCCAACCAGAGAGATATGTGGAGGTGGGTGATATCTGCAGCAAAGAATCTCAAGGGCTCGAAATGCTAAAGAATATATGTTCTCCAGAACACATGTTCGTTAATTAAGAATAAAGATATGCACCGATCGAATTTCATAAAGCCGATTTTTTTTTTCACAGTCATTTGATGTCTGTGTGTGTGTGTGTATGTTTTTGTATTGTGTGCTTGAGAGGCAGGCAAGAAGAGAGAGAGAGAGAGAGAGAGAGAGAGAGAGAGAGAGAGAGAGAGAGAGAGAGAGAGAGAGAGAGAGAGAAGAGACTAAAGAACACATGCATACTACATATGTCATAGATGTCGTCTTTCCTGAATATTTTGGATTTTCCAAACTCGTTAGATCAGAAGCGGGAAAATTACAGAATTTCTACCAAAGTGATAATTTAAAAAAAGATACAGAATAGGATTTGTAAGGGCACAGCGACTTCATACATCAGTTCTCGTTATGCCTAGTGGCACATGAGGCTTCATAGAGGACTTTCCATGCTTTCCTGTCTGTGCAGTCTTCAGTGCAGTTTTCCATGTCATAGATGCCGCACTCAGGTCACTTTCCATCGTTCGTCTCCATGTTGTTTTTTTTGGGCGCCCCTGTTTTATCTTTTCCTCTGGTGTCCATGTGAGAGCTGTTTTGGCGGGTATATTAGGTTTCATTCTCTTAACATGGCTAAGCCATTTCCATCTTCTCTTGGTTATCATACTGTGTAAAGTTTCTTGGTTTGTGACTTGAAGTAGGTTAGTGTTTGAGGTTGTATCTGGTCAGAAAATTTTGGTAATTCTACGTAGACATGTGTGGTGAAAGGTGGACAGCTTGTGTGCATCCTTTTTGGTCATTCTCCAGCATTTCGCTCCATAAAGAAGAACTGGCAAAAATAAAATGCTCTTGTAGAGTCGGAGTTTTGTTCCTCTGCAGTAATTGTTGGATTTCCAGATTTGCCTCATTCTTCCAAAAGCAGCTCTAGCTTTGTTCATACATTATTGTTTATTAAATGAGAGTCGAAAACCTTAATAGCATCTGTAATATCGCGTGAACATCTTTCCGCCAACCCCTTCCTATTTAAGGTCTTAATTTTTTGGGGAGCTCTCTGTGGTAGCAAATAATGTATGTATTTTTAATTGCGAAGGAACTTCAAGTATTAGGACGGAGTTTAGGGCAACCCATGGGAAATCGAAGCGTCTAATTCTGACCAGTATTGTGGAAATGTCTTCGAAATCTCTATACGGAGCATGAATGAGCAAACTGCCAACACTCGGATAAGATAGGAAGAGTACGATGTGTGCTACGGGATCAGTCAGCATCTACACATAAGACATTTGCCTCGCAGGACTGAGCATCTTAGGGTATTCCCAGTATAATATAATGTCTATTCTTAAATCGGCGATCTTAACAAGCATCGCCGTAACTGTTCCACGGTAGTTAGCTTTTTGATATTTTCACCAGTTCATGCAGTTAAGCTGGGAACTGGACAGTTTCAATTAGCATGTGTTGCACCCTTGTGTGTCAAATGGATGCATGGGATCTGGCCGACACTCCGCAATCGGAGGAACGACAAGACGGACATATAATCAAGTTGTTTTTGGTACTATCCGACTTTGATCACTTAGATGGCTAAAGAAGACAAAAGACGGAGCGTGTGCGTAAATGTCCCGAATCCTGCTATGTCGGTGACTCACTTATCTCAGCTTTAATCGGTAATCAATAAGCACCAGTTACCCGCTGGAAAAAAAAAAAAAACTGGCGAACTACAATCAGCTTGCAACTGACACCAATGTATGGGAACTCTTCGTTGTCTACTGAGGAAATGGACGAAGCACGTATTGGAATGTCTCGAGTGCAATGATATCAATTCTTTACTCTTTCATTCATTCACGCCCCAGAAAAAAACAAATTTCGTCAACACAAAAGAATGTCTCACTACACCAAGCGCAATTTTTATTGAATGCAATTTCTTGGTGACTTACCTTTAACGCCACACGTCGGTCCTTCTTGCTGTGACCTTGACTTGAAATCTTGTTTGTCGTGTAGGGCGGAACGTCTGTAGACCAGATGAGGTTGTCCACCGTCTTTCGATTGGTTGTGTCCCCTGATGGGCTCGATCAGGTATTCCACATCACCCAGTTGTAAAAATCCACTCTGTGTATGACAATAAAAGAAAACACTGTTACTGAGGAGACTGGCTGATTGACAATGAATCATAAATATACGCAAACAGAATGGATGTACGTAAGTAAACGGACATTTAGGAGTACGTATACGCAGACATGAATACCGATGAACTGACAGACACAGATAACAACGCCGGCAGACAACAGAAAGACGAGATATGCATACGCGTAGCTAGTTAGACTGACAGACTGGTGAATAAATGGATCGATGGATGGAGGCAGAGTGTGAAAAAGGGATTGATAAACCAACAGACAAACAGACCAGCAGACAGACTGGTGAACAGGCGAACAGAAAGAACGAACGAAAACAATAAAGTTTATTATCAAAGGGTAAAGAATCGGGCACGCTGGCCCGTCTAACATTCTGCCCTTCTAATATCCTTTCACGCATGGTTTCTTTCATTCACATATCTGTTAATAAGTAATAGTAGTAAATATTGGTTATGACAGCAGCAATTAAATAGTAAATACACACATATTAATATGCTAAAAGTATTCCCACAGTAACCCATAGTAAATGTAATAAACCAAAGGGTAAATACGGGTTTTCTAAAATTACTCTGGCATGTAATCTGTGTTCATATAATATTCGCACAGATCAAAATTGTATGTGTAGGGGCTAGTGGTACTTTTGATTTGTTATGAAAGATGGTTCCAAAGTTAAACTGCGGAAAGCGATACAGTTGTATTGTGTATGTCTATTCTAGGTTTAGAAAAATATAATAGTTTTATTCGTTAATTATGTCTCCCATTCTATTTAAACAACGGCTATATGTAACGACGAGCATTTTGGGATAATAGTTTGCGAATAAGTTTAGCCGTATTGAAAAGTAGACTTACGCGGAGCGGTAAAAGCTCGAGACCTTAATATGCTTTGGAACATTCTCTTCCATGATGAACAGACAGAGTAGCACGCACGCGTATTCACATACGCAAACACACACACACACACACACACACACACACACGCTCACACACATTAGTCGTATGGGTAGCACAGGAGGAAACAACCTGTCATACAGTCTCAAAACCACAGATCACTACGAAGAGGAAACTCCAACTAAGAAGAAGAAGAAGAGAAGAAGAAAGAAGTGACACTTCAGTTTGACATAACAAGAAGAAGAAGAAGAAGAAGAAAAGAAGAAGAAGAAGAAGAAGAAGAAGAAGAAGAAGAAGAAAAAAAGAAGAAGAAGAAGAAGAAGAAGAAGAAGAAGAAGAAGAAGAAAGAAGAAGAAAAAAAAGAAGAAGAAGAAAGAAGAAGAAAAAAAGAAAGAAGAAGAAGAAGAAAGAAAGAAGAAAGAAGAAGAAGAAGAAGAAGAAGAAGAAGAAGAAGAAGAAGAAGAAGAAGAAGAAGAAGAAGAAGAAGAAAGAAGAAAAAAGAAGAAGAAGAAAAGAAGAAAAGAAAGAAGAAGAAGAAAAGAAGAAGAAGAAGAAGAAGAAGAAGAAGAAGAAGAAGAAGAAGAAGAAGAAGAAGAAGAAGAAGAAGAAGAAGAAGAAGAAGAAGAAGAAGAAGAAGAAGAAAAAGAAGAAGAAGAAGAAGAACAAGAAGAAGAAGAACGAGGAGTGGAGGAAGAAAGAGAAGAAGAACGACAAGGGAGGAAGAAAGATAACGTGGCGGAGGAGAAGAACGCGCAGAGTAAAAAAAAGTCTGGGCCGATATTTTCACGAAATACGAGAAAGAATTGACTGTATATTTTCTCCTGATCTCAGAGTAGTTGATCTCAAGGGAAAGAAAAAACATCCGAGTTTTGCTTGGCACGTTAAAAACTTTGACATTTAGAAATCTTACACAGCATTCTGATTAGACAATGTAAGCAACCCCTAGTATATATATATATATATACAGCTTGTTTGATTCTGATATGCACATATTTCCTTCATCGATGGCTACTGAGGAGTTAGTTAATTCGGGCTTTTTCTGGATGCTGTGATGTAGAATAGTTACCATGATGACTTGTATTGCTCATCGTCGCTTTGGTGCTACGGAGTTCATGTACTGTACTCACTATTCTCCATATAAGATCTATAAGTGTATAAGTGAGCACTTAAAAAAAAAAAAAAAAAAGCCATTGAAATTAACCTGATTCTCAACCTTTTTAGTCCCAAAAAGACTACCACGTAAAGCCTTCTCTTCCAAAGAAGTTGAGCTGGGATGCAACAAATGCCGTACGTTTGTCTCAAGTCTTTGAACAGAGACACAGTGGCGACCAAAGAAGCTAAACTAACAATTAGATATAAAAAGTTAACATGACTTCTGTCTGGGAAATAAAAAGAAAAAAAGCACATCATGTTTGTTTTTTAGAATGAACAAAACATCTGCTGAGAGTTGCTAGATACACGACATAGTGTTAGGCGAATACGTTTTACATAAATTACAAAGAACCCTACATAACGAAACGGAAGTATCTATAAACGCCCGGAATATCGACAATGTGATTTTTCTATTAGTGTTAGGGGCCTAACAGAGAGTTACAAATTGTGCACATTTCGTATAGACCACCCACACGTTGATAGATTTTGCTCAAGAGGCTTCAGAATGGTTGTCAGTCTTCTGGTAGTTTATTCCACAAGTATTACATTATGCAGATAACGATGTCTTTAGTTCCCAAGTGTCACATTATGTAGATAAAGAACATGCTTTTTCTTACTTTGCTACGTTTTACAATGGAGGTAGTATCAATGTGGCAAAATATTAGCTCTGATAATTCACACACGATTCGAAAGGTAACATACTAGAGCGGTTCTCAAACTAGGCTGATCAAATGTAGTGTGGCTTTACAGTGGTAAAAGACAGATGTCAGTTTCAGAAGAACTGACGAATATATATCTCGTTTTGCTTACTTCTTCTTGATGTTGTCACCATTTCGTCTTTCTTTTTCATAGAAGTTTTTAACACACTGGAGTGGAATGAAAACTATTGTCAATAGCGGTGACAATTGTGACTAGCAAGACCTGCTCGCATAAAGATATGGCTTCCCTAAAATGTTTGTGATTTTAAGTTGGCATCTCATGGGGTTGTGTTTATATCCAAACGCTTAGATCTTAACCTGTCTGAAATTACTCTCTCTTGTACCCCTTAATCTAATCCAGATTTTACCCGTCCATGCAAAGGAAGTATTAGTATTCTGCTCCCATAAATGCACCACAATGCATGTACCATTCATGTTTTGCTTGCGCGCATTGGATAATTAAGTGAGAGAACAATTAAGAGGCTTAGACTTATACAACAGAACCTAAAAATTAGCCACCTGTAGGAAATTTAGTATTTATACTATTCAGTGACATGAAATACATAATAGTAGAATATCCCAAGAAATGACTTATTACATTTGTCTGATGTTCCTAAACACATATTAAAATCAGTTATTGGAATTTAAACAGATTTAGGACGATAGAACGCGTAGAACAATTAGCAACTTGCCTGCATGTTGTCATCACCAGCATTTTCCAGTTCTGCGGTCATGCAATAATCATTAGTGATACGTCTCTCTCTCTCTCTCTCTCTCTCTCTCTCTCTCTGTGTGTGTGTGTGTGTGTGCGTGCGTGCTTCTTTATAAATGCATATTTGCATATATATATATATATATATATATATATATATATATATATATATATATATATATATATATATATATATACACACACATACACATATGTAAATGTTCCTAACATGTTACTACTACTGCATTCTCTCGTAATTCTCAAACATTTACACAACTAATTAATACGGTCTCTACAACTTCCTTCAAACAGGTTTCTCGGTCGCTCAAGCACGATTCATCCACCAGCGAAAAACCAAGCCCTGGAGAAAAAGTGTGAACTCATGTTTGTGAAACTACACTATTATTTACCCAGCAGACAATCGCTTCTATAGGTAGTGCACTTGACAGATTTATACCATTCATCATTTTTTGGCGCAATGTTTGTCATTCATTTCGTTTCCATCGCCACTTAGTGTTGGTTTTCATTTCATGATTTATTTCTACTACAGCCATTTTTATCCCTTTGCTTCGACAAGTGATTTTGCAGAAACATTTTTGCGGGAATATATTGGAATCCTGCACTGCACAACATTTCTAAAGAAACTTTTTTTTTTAATGAAGTCGTAACAGTGTTTTTTTTTTTTTTTGGCAAGTTGTTAACTTCAGGAGGGGAAGAATGTGAACTATTTGTTAATGATGAAAGATGGATACATCACTGAACGTATAAATGTGAATACATGAGCTGATGTAGAATAATGGCTAGTGAGGGTATATATCCATGAGTCCATCAAATCATGCATTTATCCATCCATCCATCCATCTATACAGCCATCCATCCGTCTATACATTCATCCAGCCATCCCACCATCCATCCATCAATATATACACACATACATACACACATACATATACACATACATTCACACACTCAAACACACTCACACATACATACATACAAACCTACACACATCCGTAGGTACATACATATATATATATATATATAAATACATTGGCATTTTTCTGTCTTTTCAGACAAAAGTTTTATATTGTACTATGAGGAGGCATGGGACTCACAGCCAGTGAAGATTGCGAGTGTGATTAGCAAGCCCAACCCGCCTTAAGAAAAGTCTTCGTCAATTATAGAATGAAATTTCAGAAACGTTGTTGTCATCATTTGTGTTTAGTCTGTGTTTCTTCAGATGCTCAGCTTTCATCCTTTCTGCAGTCATTTCTTCCTTCATTTTCGATCCCTTCCTAATGTGCCCCCTCAACACAACAAGGTTTATGACATTTTGCTCCCACTAGTCCACCTCGGTATTTGTATCATTCATGTCCCGCTTGCACACATCTTTATAAGGTAGTGGAAGTCGGTCTCGACATCTTCCACCCATCTCCATGCTGCCTTGCCTATCCTGATGTTGATTTCTTGGTCCAGCGCCTTTCCAACACGCATGTCGCAGGAGTCGACCTATTGGGAGACTACCTC